GTTGCATAGTTGATTGTGCTTGTAAGATATTGTGACTGCTGGGTACTCCCTCCGTCCGAAAATACTTGTCATCAAAATGGATAAAAAGAGATGTATCTACAACTAATATACGTCTAGATACATCTTCTTTCATTCATTTTGATGACAAGTATTTTCGAACGGAGGGAGTATATACTTAATATATATGCTTCTCTGTGTAGGTCTTATATGATGACGGAGATATGGAGCAGCTTAACATGGCTAAAGAAAAGTGGAAAATGATTGAAAGTAATGGTTCACCAATGAAGGTAGAGTATTGTCGATTCTTTCCTAGAAACTGTCTCTGTAGCCCTAAAGATAATGCTCAACTCATTATAGTTCTACTGATTGTTTGCAGCAGCAAAAGAAGGATCATGTAGGTTCAAATCAAGGACGGTAAGCCAGAATTTCTTCTTTACGAATTAAGAAATGACTTTGTCTGCCTATATTTTGCTTGTTAGCCATAACAAAGTATTGATTATCAATGTGAAATGTTGGATGTAAAGGTTTCTAGTCAGATTAAATGTTATGAACTTATTGCACATCTCATCCAATTGATGCTTTGCAAGATGAAGTAATTTGCTTTGCTTACCACCTGATCCAATGTAACACCTTGCAGAGCACAAGAGACGAAATCTACCAGCAGCACGAAAGTTCCAGCTAACCAACATAAGTCAATAAAGACGTAAGTCCATATCTAACTCTCAGACTGAAGGATCGTGCTGCAACTTTTCTCATCGATCCATCTTCTTACCACCTGAACCAATGTAACACCTTACAGAGCACAGGAGACGAAATCTACCAGCAGCACGAAAGTTCCAGCTAACCAACATAAGTCAGTAAAGACGTAAGTCCATATCTGACTCCCAGACTTAAGGATCATGCTGCAATTTTTCTCACCTGGTCCATTGTAACACCTTACAGAGCACAGGAGACGAAATCTACCAGCAGCACGAAAGTTCCAGCTAACCAACATAAGTCAATAAAGACGTAAGTTCATATCTAACTCTCAGGCTTAAGGATCATGCTGCAATTTTTTCTCATCGATCCATCTTCTTTAGGCCCTCACCTCTAAAGAGGAAAGAAAAACCAAAAACGCCGCCGGAAAACAAGCGTAGAAAAACATCAGGAGGTAGCAAGTCCATCGAAGCTACCAGCGAAGCTGGTGTTAATGATTCAGATTCAGCCAGTTCTCTCGCTCATTCAGATTCCGACAAAGATGTAAAATCAGGTATGGCCGTTTTATGTGCTTGTTTACATTTATCGAAAATATGCATGCCGTTTCATCATCGTAGTTGAGCTTAGCTTTTGACTGTTTTATTACCAAAGATGGCGAGAAGGATAAAGAGGTAGCAGTTGGCTCAGCTGGGAAAGAAAAAACAGGAAAAACAGAGAAAGAGTCTGCAGAAGATATGGAGCTGGAAGAGAAAAAACCTGACGGCGACAGTTTGAGCTGCAAGGAGGAATCTGACGACGAAACTCTTGTAAGCGTGACCCGCTTCGACCCCGGACTGGACCCCTGATATATTTTCAATTTTCTGATTCTCTTCTGTTGTTTTCTGTTGAATCTGCAGAGTGTCTGGAAAAAGCGTGCATCGCAAGCGACATAGGCTTTGCTTTCTCTCAGTTGACATATGTCGTCCTAGGATGCAGATATCAGAGGCAGTCGTCTGTGGAATGTGGATATCTCATTAATTTGACCCTTTGCAGCTGACAGTTGTGATGTAGAAAATTGTTCTTTGCAATAGCAACAGGTTAGTATAGAAGAGCCAGCTGGATAGGAAGGATTTGCTTTGTAATGTTATTTAGGTGCTAGAACTTGTTGCCGACTTCGCCATGGCATTGTTCGATGGGCGTATGAATCCTCGAGGGTCAGATGTTGTGTAACATATCTAGTTCACCATTCTTTTGCAGGAGATAGCAACCGTGTCTTTGAAACTCATGTAGAAATGTTGTACAACAATAAATCAGTGTGTTGGGATTGTTTTGCTACCAGTGCGGTGGTCCTCTCTTCGGGCCCCTATTCGAACTTTCGAAGAAACAGATTTTGAATATGTAGCGAGATGCACTAGTTGTTTGGATTCGGACTTCATACTGTGCTAAAGAGATCATGTTGTAATTCTGTTTGCTGAACCTGTAGGTAGTATTAAATTTGATGAATGCTTGATTAAGTTTCCAACAAATTTCCATTTTTATAAGAAAAATACTGCACCTGTAGTCACTAAGTTTCTATAACTACTACAGATGAGGGGATGTAAGTTTCATCTTCTCACATGGTCCACCTGACATCTTGTTATGTATGTAGGCCAAACTCATTTGGTCCGTAGGAAGAAATGTTGCAGGTTGCACATTTTTATCCTGTTATTATGTATGTAGGCCAAACTCATTTGGTCTGCTGAAAGAATGTAGCAGGTTGCACATTTTTGTCCCATTTCCATTACTTTGGCATAATGGAAATACAGAGTTCGATAGAGATTACAGGAGGTGGGAAGGGGGGATAAGCGAGTTCAAAGCATTATCAAGAAACCAACTACACACTGCACGCAATGGGCACAGGCGCAAAACTGGAGGGAGGCAAAGCGAACTGCCCATGTTCATGGCAACACACGCCGGAAAGTCAGGTTGATCCTCGTCGAGGCCGCTCTTGCACGCTTGGGCACCGCGTGCTGCCAGTCCCGCTGGGTGTAGCCCCTCATCACGAGCAACGAGCCATGCTTCAGGAGGAACGAATGCTGCTGAGGGGCGCTGGCCTTGAGCCGCTTCCGAGCCGTTTCCCCAGATTCACCAGCAGCTGCTGGATGAAGAACAGCATGAGTTAGTTTTACTCCAGGGTACAAAGCCTATAGCTCTCATCTAGTAGCAAGATGTGGCGAGTACCTTGTGATTTCGTGTTGGTAGGCTTCTTCCTCAGCAAGAACTCACGCTCGCACCCGAATGTGACCGACGCAATCTCTGGGGTAGGCCCGTAGAGGGGTTCGTCATCGGCGTGCCACGACACGTAGTCTGAACCTCCCTTGTATCTGTTCAGCAGCAGGCTGTTAAAGTGGCTCCCCGGGAGGGCTTCATGGACCTAACCGATGTGTACGAGTCAGAAGACTGCTGTGAAGGCTGAACGCTGAGAATACTCTCCAGATGTTACCTTCTAAATAAGAACAAGTCCAACTGGTTTCTGCTGATTACGGGGTAGCAATGCAAGAAGTCACCTTGGCCCATCTCTTACCTCTTTCAAGATATCCTTGAGCACTGGGAAATCATCCCAAGAATGCGCATGAGGCTGATGGCCGCTGTACCTCAAATCTGTTAGCCCTTTATCTGCCACATAGCAGGTATCTCTGGGCTGTAGAATAGCAAAAAGGATCAGATACTTGGTTTAGAAGCCTCACAAGGGTTATATGACCAATGCGCTTCTTGTCAGTTGTCACTAGAGCGAATATCGTTATCGAACCAATGGGGCTAGACGACTAGTAGCGTTAGGAGGAACACATCAGACACTTTGTTAAGGTGGCACCAAAGACAAGAGACCATCACCATGGCACCATCAATGGTTAACTGGCATTGTATACATCGTAGCTATGTTGCACTCCAGCGAGCAAATTAGATGAGCATCCAGCAATTATCTTCGGCTATCAAAACTTCAATACGGCGGAAAGAGTTTGACAAAATGTATTACTACCATGAGGCAAGCTCCTCATACTTATATCCTGACTGCTCTTTCGTTTCAGTGTCAATCAAGCTAACAAGAATGGCCATATGTCTACAGCCAGGGACAGAGTGATGCTCATTCCCTAAATGGTTTGGAAGTACCAAACCACAAGGTGCAATCAAACAACATGTCAAATATGTTAATCATCCTACATAATTTTGTATCGGTACGCTTTACATACTGTTGAACTGAGGTACTCTAGAAAGAAAAAACAATTTGTTGTACTGCTAACTGCTTGCCCCAAACAACACGCATTCACCACCCAAGGCATGGATAAGTGCAGACCCATACTGATGATCCAACCTACCATTCCAAAATCCAGTTAATATTTCTTCAAACTTAGAATTTTTTTTCTCCTCCCCAAAATAACAGCACGGCTACCAATTTTGGAGAGAAGGGTTAGGAACCAATGTTAAACGCAAGGGACCTAACTGTGACTGAACGAGGCGCAAGAAATGGGGGTAATAAGGGGGGCATGAGAGGGGCGCCGACCTGGACGACGGAGCGGCCGAAGACGCGAATGGTGGGGCGTGTCCACGGGATGCGCTTGTCGAGGTGTTCGAACATCTCCCACGCCGTCTCCCGCGACATGAACCGCGGGATGTGCACCACCTCGCTCCCGCCGCCCAGGTCCGTCACCTCTCGCCGCGGCTCCGGCTTCCTCGCTTCTCCTTCTTCACCCTTCCTCTCGCCGGGGCTGGGGCTGAGTCCGGGGTTCGGATTGGGCTGGCCGAGCCGGAGCCGCGAGGCCATTGGCGATGCGGCGGGAAACGAAGCGGCGGTGGACGGAGGGTCGGAGATGGTGGCTGGAAGAGGCGGCTAGCAGAAATGAGTAGGGGCCCAAAGAAGGCGGGTTTCAGAAGTACGTAAACGTAGTACGGACACGGAATACAGGTCCAATAATCCAATTGTTTCAAGAAATAAAAATAACACGGTGCTTCTTCCTTTTCTTTGCGAGGAAAGTTACACTGAAACGTGTGGAGTTCTAAATAGTTAAAGACATACTATAACAAATTAAAATAAATAGCTAAGAAGTTCATAGCTCGCAAAGAAGTTAACAAATTACATTCAATTTCAATCAATTTCGAATGGAGGGACTAATAAACAACTAAAATTAGCACGACACGTTTGATCTAGTTACACCACGAGCTACTACCACGTATAGCACGACGAATCAATAGAGCAAACAAGTTATAAGCAAATGATTCTAGACTGTCTACGACCTTGGAAGGCAACCAACAGTTTGCACACGCACAATGCATGCAACGCAACGACCCTCTCATGCAAAGGCCAGCAAGGCGGCACCCACTCCCAGAGCGGCGCCAACGGCGTGATAGGCACCGAAGGGCGCGGCGCCGCTGGTCTTCCCGTCGCCGGCGTTCCCGCGCGGCGGCATGCGCGTGGATCCTGATCCGGACCCCGGCGTGGAGTTGAAGGACCCGCCGGGAGACATGGCGGGGGCCTCCGTCGGGGAGGCGGCGCCGTTGTCCCTCTGCGCCATGACGCGCAGGGTGAACCTCTGGCCGGCGTCGCAGTGGCCCGGCGAGCCGCTGATGAAGTAGAGGAAGCCGCTCCGCTCGAGCCGGAACCTCGCCTCGCCGCCCTCGAGGCGGAGCACCGGCCTGTCCGCGCCGCAGCGCTTGTAGTCGTCGCGCGTCACCACCAGCACGGAGTCGTTCTTGTCGTACCTGAAATCTGCACGCACTCCCGTTAGTTCCGTCGTATGGACGCACGGCCGCCGGCCGCCGCATGCACGTGCTTGGTCGATGCTTACGGAGGAAATCGCCGACGTGGAAGCGGTTCTTGGTGGCCCAGTGGTTGTAGGTCTCCTCGCCGGGCGCCGGCTGCCTCCAGCCCCTCTCTACGCCGCCGACGGTGAACACCCGCGGCGACGACGACGACGCGGACGCGGCGCCGGCGAGAAGGACGCAGGCAACGGCGGCCGAGAGCAGGACGCCGGCCATGGCTTGCTGGCTCTTCTTTCTAGCAGTGTTGTGCAGCGAGCGGGATTCGCTGTGATTGTTGGGTTGGTGTCTCTCGTGAGCTCTGCCAGGCCGGGGAGGAGGTTATATAGGGTCGGAGACGAGGAAGTGGCGCCGGTGGAGTACATTGGTGGGCGGTTTCCCGAAGAGACGTGGCCGGCACGGGGACCGTTGATGGCGGCGGAGGTGAGGATTTGGACGGTGTGGGATTGGCCGAGAGCGTGCGTGCATGACTTGGTCAGAGTGGTCTGGGTGCGCGGCGGTTTGGTCCAAGGGGAAGGGAGACGTGGGAGGTAGGAGCGTTGAGGGGTTTGACTGTTGGAAGTTTGCAGGAATGGCGTTGAAAGATGGAACCCGGTCGGTGCAAGGGCCGTTTTGGGTTGGGCTTCAAAATTTTGCCGCGGGGTTAATGAAACGGGAACTTTGAAGTTCCTTTGAGAAGATTCAGAAAGAAATTACCAAGGATACAACTCAATTCTCCGATGAATTAGCACATTATCGCTTTCAGTTTGGGTGAAATGGATAACTGTGACCAATCTTCAACCCGACATACGACAGAGGGATACAAGGTGGCTATTGGCGGGAACGCTTTTGCACGTTCCTTAAGAGAACATTATCCAGTGAGCTATGAGACCAATCCCTAAAAACAAAGTTATGATTAGACCATGGTCTGGGATGAAACTGGTCCTGAACCATAAAACGAAAGGTGATTCATAAACAGAAAGGTGCCGGGCAAGTGCATATAAGCCGTCTAAAGGGAAGTTTCGTGTGAATGCTCAACCTTGATTTGATCCCATGCCCCAAAAAAGGGTGATATAACCCACTGCTCGCCTAAGAATATACTGGCGTAATCACTACTAGTTTCCTGAAGTATCCAACTGCGAATATTAATTAGTACAGTTGGCATTACCTGTCGTGGTACTAAGTCTGACAGTAAGAGTAGGGGTACGTATGAGGAGGCAAGGCCCTAGCTACGGCGAGGCTGTACACTCCAGTTTACGAGTTCAGACCCCTCTCGAAGGAGGTAAAAGCCCTACGTCTCGATGCCTTGAGGCGGTCGACTGGAATATGGGTGTGTGTTACAAGGGGTGCGAACCCTTGTCCCATAGGAGGGGGTGGCTTATATAGAGTGCGCTAGGACCCCAGCCGTCCTCCGTTACAGGGGTTCAATGTACATTAAGAGGACGGGGCGTCGACCCGTTGGCGGGGCAGCTAAGATTTCTGCCAGCCCACCTGAGTTCAAGTCACGTCTTGGACGTGTGGTGCTCGCGGAGTTTCTCCTATAAAAAAATCCTAACGAGGGTTAGCCCTTGGGCTGGTCTCATTTTTTTTATAAAGTGTTATTAATGATCTTTAAGACTACGGAGTGAACGCTTGACCGTTGCCATCCTGAGTGACTTTAGGTCTTCTGTACTCCGAGTGGTTTCCTGTATGGTCGAATGCCTTCATCCTGGTTGAGTGAAATTGGGGTTATCCGAGTGAGACGACTGGTCGAGTGGATTGCACCTGATGGCTTCAATTGGTACTCCTTGCTATACTTTGAATGTCCTTGTTTCTAGGGTAGTGACCTTGGGTAGGGCGTATAGGTCAGGTCTATGACCCTACCCTAGGTCTATGGCATCGTCATTAGCCCCCGAATGGAATGAGGTCCGAGTGAAAAGAAAGTTGAAGTTGACCCTGCCTTGACTCTTGTGCTTCACAAGCATTCATACTGAGTTCGAGGTCCATGCTGAAACTTCGACTTTATTTCAGTCGCCTTGATCGATTCAGAGGTCGGCGAGTGAACTTATGCTGGCAATCTTCGAGTGTTTATATGGTGCGAAATCTTCGGCGCGATTGGTTATGCGGTTCCTGGATCTCACGGGATTCAAAAATTTGGGAAAGCGCGCGAGGCGGAGCGCGCCGCAGTAAACGGGACGGATAGACATGGGCGCCTTGATTTCTGCACCACCTTTTTTGCCACGTATCCGGTGCGCGACTATTGTGGAATTTGACAGGACCGCTCGGGCCCACGCGTCAGCCACTTGGAAGTAGGCCCATAAAAGGCGTCGAGGCTGATGCATTTGCACAGTGCGCTACCATTCCCCTTGTTCTTCCTCTGCTTCTCCACTTCGTCCTCTTTCATCCTCGACGCCGCCGCTCCGCCAATGCGCAGCCCGCCACAATGGTGAAGGATAAGATGGCGGCACCGGAGTGCGCGAAGAAAGCAACGGCGACGGTGATGGGCAAGAAAACGAATCAGGGATCATCGTCGAGGTCCGGGTTGCCGCCTGGTTGGATCTCAATACCTAGCTCAATCTCGTTACCAGCAAGTCTCTTTACTCATTCCGTAATGCATCATCCCGCAATTAACTCATTAGTCACATTGCTTGCAAGGCTTATAGTGATGTGCATTACCGAGAGGGCCCAGAGATACCTCTCCGCCAATCAGAGTGACAGATCCTAATCTCGATCTATGCCAACTCAACAAGTACCATCGGAAACACCTGTAGAGCACCTTTATAATCACCCAGTTACGTTTTGACGTTTGGTAGCACACAAAGTGTTCCTCCGGTAATCGGGAGTTGCATAATCTCATAGTCATAGGAACATATATAAGTCATGAAGAAAGCAATAGCAGTAAACTAAAATGATCAAGTGCTAAGCTAACAGAATGGGTCAAGTCAATTACATCATTCTCCTAATGATGTGATCCCGTTTATCAAATGACAACTCATGTCTATGGTTAGGAAACCTTAACCATTTTTGATTAACGAGCTAGTCAAGTAGAGGCATACTAGTGACACTATATTGTCTATGTATTTTCACATGTATTATGTTTCCGGTTAATACAATTCTAGCATGAATAATAAACATTTATCATGAAATAAGGAAATAAATAATAACTTTATTATTGCCTCTAGGGCATATTTCCTTCAGTCTCCCACTTGCACTAGAGTCAATAATCTAGTTCACATCACTATGTGATTTAACACAAATATTCACATCTGTATGTGATTAATACTTATAGTTCACATCATCATGTGACCAACACCCAAAGGGTTTACTAGATTCAATAATCTAGTTCACATCGCTATGTGATTAACACCCAAAGAGTACTAAGGTGTGATCATGTTTTGCTCATGAGAGAAGTTTATTCAACGGGTCTGTCACTTTCAGAGCCGTATGTATTTTGCAAATATTCTATGTCTACAATGCTCTGCACGAAGCTACTCTAGCTAATTGCTCTCACTTTTAATATGTATCCAGATTGAGACTTAGAGTCATCTGGATCGGTGTAAAAGCTTGCATCGATATAACTCTTTACGACGAGCTCTTTTATCACGTCCATAATCGAGAAATATTTCCTTAGTCCTCACTAAGGATAATCTTGACCGTTCTCCAGTGATCTACTCCTAGATCAAAAATTGTACTCCCTTGCCAAACTCAGAGCAAGGTATACAATAGGTCTGGTACACAGCATAGCATACTTTATAGAACCTATGACTGAGGCATAGGGAATGACTTTTCATTCTCTTTCTATTTTCTGCCATGGTCGGGTTTTGAGTCTTACTCAACTTCACACCTTGCAACAAAGGCAAGAACTCCTTCTTTGACTGTTCCATTTTGAACTACTTCAAAATCTTATCAAGGTATGTACTCATTGAAAAATCTTATCAAGCGTCTTGATCTATCTTTATAGATCTTGATGCTCAATGTGTAAGCAGCTTCACCGAGGTCTTTCTTTGAAAAACTCCATTCAAACACTCATTTATGCTTTCCAGAAAATTCTACATTATTTCTGATCAACAATATGTCATTCACATATACTTATCAGAAAGGCTGTAGTGCTCCCACTCACTTTCCTGTAAATACAGGCTTCACCGCAAGTCTGTATAAAACTATATGCTTTGATCAACTCATCAAAGCGTATATTCCAACTCCGAGATGCTTGCACCAGTCCATAGATTGATCACTGGAGCTTGCACACTTTGTTAGCACCTTTAGGATTGACAAAACCTTCTGGTCGCATCATATACAACTCTTCTTTAATAAATCCACTAAGGAATGCAGTTTTGGCATCCATTTGCAAGATTTCATAAAATGCGGCAATTGCTAACATGATTCAGACAGACTTAAGCATCGATACGAGTGAGAAAATTGAAGGAAATATGCCCTAGAGGCAATAATAAAGTTATTATTTATTTCCTCATATCATGGTAAATGTTTATTATTCATGCTAGAATTGTATTAACCGGAAACATGATACATGTGTGAATACATAGACAAACTTAATGTCACTAGTATGCCTCTACTTGAGTAGCTCATTAATCAAAGATGGTTATGTTTCCTAACCATAGACATGTGTTGTCATTTGATTAACGGGATCACATCATTAGGAGAATGATGTGATTGGCTTGACCCATTCCGTTAGCTTAGCACTTGATCGTTTAGTATGTTGCTATTGCTTTCTTCATGACTTATACAAGTTCCTACAACTATGAGATTATGCAACTCCTGTTTACCGGAGGAACACTTTGTGTGCTACCAAACGTCACAACGTAACTGGGTGATTATAAAGGATCTCTACAGGTGTCTCCAAAGGTACATGTTGAGTTGGCGTATTTCGAGATTAGGTTTTGTCACTCCGATTGTCGGAGAGGTATCTCTGGGCCCTCTCGGTAATGCACATCATTATAAGCCTTGCAAGCAATGTGGCTAAGGAGTTAGTTATGGAATGATGCATTACATAACGAGTAAAGAGACTTGCCGGTAACAAGATTGAACTAGGTATTAGGATACCGATGATCGAATCTCGGGCAAGTAACATACCGATGACAAAGGGAACAATGTATGTTGTTATGCGGATTGATTGATAAAGATCTTCGTAGAATATGTAGGAGCCAATATGAGCATCCAGGTTCCGCTATTGGTTATTGACCGGAAACGGTTCTCGGTCATGTCTACATAGTTCTCGAACCCGTAGGGTCCGCATGCTTAAG